CCCTCCCCCACTCCCCCTGCTTGTAGTCCCTCTCTCATTGTCCCTCTCTCTCAAATAAATAAATAAAATCTTTAAAAAAAAAAAAAAAAGAAGAGAGTAAACTGATGCTCAGTGAGGTCAAAAAACTTGCCCAAAGCCAGAGTTGGTAAGTGGCTGACTCAGGAGCTGGCATGTCTGATGATAAAGCCCATGAGGTTCCCACCCACCAGTGCTCCTCTGCGCTTTCTCTTCTACCCTGTACGCGGAATGCATTCTTCAGCACTGCCTCGTAGGAGAGAGGTCACTCAGCGCACGGAAGGGCTTACTTGGGAGGGCACGGGGGGTGGTGGTGGTGGGGGCGTGGACGCTACAGCAGCGTCCTTTAAGGGGAAGGGCCTGAGATCCTCGCCATCACTCACTCCCATCTCCATCCTCTCTTCAGTAGCATTCTATTACACCATATTATGGACCTGCATCCCTGGATAAACTATACGGAATCCATTAACCCCTGGAAAGTATATGAAAAATATTGTTTGTACTTGTGCATCTTTCTAGGTCTGTGGCTCGTCGCTTGTAGCAGACATTCAGAGGAGCCTCGGATCCCTGGGAAGCTTAACCACTAACAGAGCTTCTCTAGTAGGGTAGCCACTAGTGGCTGTGTAAATGTAAACTTAATAAAATAGAAAATTCAGACCCCCAACTGCATTACTGAAATTTCAAGCGCTCAATAGCCACATGCAGCTAGTGGGGCCTGCACTGGACATGAACGATATAGAATACTGCCATCACTGCAGAACATTCTGTTGGAGAGTGCTGTTTTAAAGACTTAAAAACTGAATTTATGGGATGCCTGGGTGGCTCAAGTAAGTTGGGTGTCTGCCTTCGGCTCAGGTCATGATCCCAGAATCCTAGGATCCAGCCCTACATCAGGCCTCCTTGCTCGGCTGAGAGTCTGCTTCTCCCTCTCCCTCTGCGGCTTCCTCTGCTTGTGCTCTCTGACAAATAAATAAATAAAATCTTTAAAAAAAAATGGAATTTATCACAAAAATTAAGTAGGTTAAAATGAATGAAGAAACCACTTCTAAATTTTTCTTCGTGTGGCCACTCATTTTAGATAATTAAGTATGAAAAAAGTAGCACAGGAATAAATACACGGATATATAAGATATCCTACAGATTTGGCCCTACCTTCTCCTTCTTCTTTGATGGACTTTGGTTGAGAGACAGCAAAGCACTGCATAGTTTCATATTTCTGATGTGTGTCCTGGTTATCGTGACCTTCCTCTTCTGAATCAGGTAAAGGTTTTACCAGCATCCGACAATTGAAGGTATGGCTGTTCCGCCGAGGAGGTTCGCCAGACCAGGATCCCCCATTCACTGAGGGAGGCAAAAGCAACCCGATAATTATAAAGAAACTAACATCAGACTCGCTGCTGCCAAATTATCAAAACAATGCTAATGTTTTAACAATTTGGGAAAATGCTTGGGATTTTCAAAATAACTTCTACGCCTCTTACTCTTCACCCTGACTCCTTCCCTTCAGGTTCAGGCCTTGTTTAATTATTATTAGAACACTGTTCTTCATTTTTGGGTTTTCCTTACTCTGGTTTCTTGGAAATTTAGTTCAACCTACTTGTACTTTAGGTACTTTAGATATTTTATCCCCTTGAGATATGTTACCCCCTGCTCAAAAATCTGGAACTGGCACCAACTTACAGCATGCATTAAGTTCCTTAAAAGGATTTTGACTTGATGTAGTCAGGGATATGAAGGCCATTCGAACTGATAGATCGAATCTCACTGACCAGCCCCACCTTATCCATCTAACCAGATTTCCCACACTGGCCAGCACAAGCCTCCCCCACCATCCTCCACCCCTGGTCCCACATGGACACTGGTGCTCCTGCCACCTTATCTCAAGTGTCCAGTGGCCACTATTTCTCCCACCCCGATGTACCCTGCTCTGAGGACGAGATCCCCACTCTGTCTTCTCTCCCAGATCCTTCTTTTGTAGAATTTTACAAAAATTTTGGTGTGTATTCTGTAACTTGGCTGTTGCTGAATTACTCTATTTCAGGTACATTTCCTCAGTTCAACTGAAAAATCCCTGCAGAGGCACTGCTAATGTCATTTATTTCTTCTCAAGTGAAAGGTTACTTCACAGGTCTTCTCCTTTAGTGTCAATACTTAGAAATGTATGTATTAATTCAAGAAAGAGAGAATGACACAGAGGAAAGACACTTCTTTAGGGAAATTCGAGAAATCAAGGGAAATAAAAGAATGACTGATTTGGAGACTGTAAGGTTGTTCTCATGGATCACCAGATCCACCTTCTCATTCCACAGATGAAAAAACCTATGAGAAAGATCTTCAGCTACTAGAAGAGCTGGAATCAGTACCAATCCTAATCATCATTTTGGTATTCTTTTCTTTACTGTTCTTTATGTTTTATCTAAAAAATATTATGACCAGTAGGACAATGAAAGAGAGGACTGAAAAAAAGGGCCAGTGATAAGATAAGCAAACATACTCTCAAAGCTCACTAGTGGGAAAATACTTAAAAGGACATCTAGGTGTTCTGGTGAATGCAATGCTAAGTGCATAGCCACTGGGCTGCAAAGGAATAAAAAAGAAAACACACCCTGGAAAGAACAAAGGAAATACCAAGTTAACTGCAAGAAATGGTTTTAGAATTACAGAAGGAACCATAGCTAGCTTTATATGTCTGTGCAGACATTTGGGAGGTTTCTTCCACCATCAGTATTCTTAAAAGCTTATTTACATAATGGATACTACACAGAGAAATGAAAGAAGAAAGAAAAAAGAGTTCTTATTAACTCAGGTTAATAAGTAATTTTAAAACATAAAAAAAGTACAGTATAAAGTCAAGAAAAGAGCTCTTTAGACAAGTGAATTAATAATAGTGAATTAATAAGTATAGGTCCTTTGAGGAAGTCATCAAATTACTGAAGAGATCTGAAATATCAGTTACTTGAAATAAGAAATCCCATTTTCTTGTTCATTTACTAGAGAATATAATAAAAGAATCTCACATGAATATGCATATGTTTTGTGTTACTGTTGCAGTCACTTTGAACAAAGGGTTATCATGCCAAGGAAAAGCTAGCCATCTGGAATTTAAAAAGGGCCTTCTATTTATTGTGGTAACAGTAAGACCGGCTAATATAAACCATTTGAAAAAAAAAAAAAAAGAACAGAAATACTTGCTAACTCAGGACTTGACCTTATTCTGTACTAAAATATGCACTTCCTTTTATCTGTGAAGATGTTCTTAGCATCATCAGTCTAAGTGAGAATATTAAAAAAAGAACCCCTTAGGAAGTGGGAACGTTCATACTCTGGAGCAGCAGGTAAGGTGGGCCCACGCTGTGAGCCACCCACTTTAAAATGCGGCCCTCGATACTCCCGGACACTTTTGGACAGCATCTTCAGAATGAGAGGAAGTCAGCAACATGGGCGGGACAGCGAGAGTGGGTACGGGGAAGAGCCACCGAAGCGTCTGGGAAACCAAAGAGCCCATTCAGGGCTGCCGGGCTGGTAGCATCCGACCCTCTATATGCCCCTTGTTCCTTAATGTCAGATCTTCAGCAGGCTGTAGGCACCCACATACATACTCTCTTCGCGAGTAGCACGCAAAATTTTGTTTTTCTGAAGTCAAACCTCAAACTTCTCACGACCTTCTACTTCTTAGAGCCATGGCCGAAAAGCACAAATTGGAGGCGGCTGGCACTGGAAGGGAGGCAGTGTGGCAACCTCTTAAAAAACACCGAAACAAACCCCACGAAAACAGTGGCCATAGGAGTCCTTTCCATCTGAATAATTTTCATGTACTTTAAATACAGGATCAAAACAATCATTCATTTACGATCCCTATCTGCAGATGTCCTCTTCTCCATGACTTTCGAGCTTAAATATTTAATGTAAGCCTCTCTAAAAAACTACCCAGTTACTCTTATCCCCAGTTGCCGTAACACCCAGTTCTATGTGACCCCCTCCAACCAAGACAATGTGTGCATGGGGGAGGAGGGAGACCCCAGCAGATAATCATTTACCTATAGACTTTGGCAGCAGGTTTTTGACAAATTCAGTGTGGTCCCCAACATGCAGGATGCTATATACACTTTTGTTCATCAGCTCTTCTTGGTTATACCTTAGGTACTGTGTCACATTCTCTGAAACAAATACAACGTTGCCTTCCAGGTTCACTACAAAGAAGAACCCATCAAGGGCCTAAGGGAAAAGGCACAAATTGTGTTAGAAAGGACACAACAGAAAATCATATGCAGTTGTTAAGAAGGGATGATCCCTTTAAGGGAAAGGTGTAATTCACACGTGGAGAGAAAAGAGATTTCTGTCTCTCTCAACCCCTCTCCTAGTTTTGGGGAAAAACTAGCACATTTTCTCGTGATGAAATGACTCCATCTTAGTAAGTGGGAGAGAGCCTAGATCAGGGTTTCTTGTCGCAAACTAAATGACAAATACTAACTGTTATTTTATCAGGAGATAATTACTGCCACGTAAGTGCAGGTATTTATCTGTATTTTCCAAATTATATTGATGGACTCTACCTGGCCAAGAACAACGTTTATGTTACCAACCCAGTACAAAGTAATTATGTCCTATAGTTTCTCATGTAATACAATGGGAGGAAAGGGTCATTGATAATTTTCCTTCAGTTTAAGGATTAAAAAACCCCCCAAACTTTGCCACCTTTAAAGCTGCCAGGGTTTAAATGAAAAGAACTGCAGATGTTCTCAAACGTCAATCCTTTATTGTTTGGGAAAAGGGTCTGGGAAGGAAGTGTCTCTCTGATAATGGCAATGGGGACTGCACGCTGAGACATGACCAGTAGAGTCTGAAGACTGGAAGGGGACTTGAGGTTTTAGTTTTTGACAGTGAGAACTGGAAAGTTAACTAATTGTGCCCTTCTCTATTACTTGTTCTCCAGGTCATGGAGCTGCAGGTCCTTAACCACCTAGATAACATTAGCATTTTCCTGCAATGTGGCTTGGCCTCACTCCTCCTTGTTGTCATTCCAGTCTAGATCAGGGAAGGACAGAAAGACTCCAGGATCATTTCAGGAAATAAAGATAATGAGAATAACTACCGAGCATGTTTACTGTGCCTAAACACATTGTGTCATCTGAATGTTTACAACTCTGGAAGGAATGTTTTACCTTCTCCAATTAACAGAGGAGGAAGAAATTGAGGCTCTAAGAGGTGAAGTGATTTGCAAAAGCTTTTGCAACTCAGTCCGCGGCAGAGCTGGAATTTGAACCCAGGTGCACTCAAAAGCTCATGCTTGCGATTACTCTGCAGCAGAGTGTTCTACTTCAGTATTTACTCCAGTCTTTTCCTATCATGTTCACCTCGATGATATAAAAGTTGAGAGTTCAGGGAGTTTCTCTTAGTGACTCCTCCTTTCCCCTTTTGATCTGTGCTTGTCAGAGTCCTGTTTTATAGATGAGGTGAGTGATCAAGACTAGAAGAAGCCTGATATTGATCAGGCATACCTCGAAACAGGGCCACCTGGTCTACCCAGTTTGTGTCACAGTTTCCCCATGCTATGTATTTACTACTATTTTTAACATGAATGTTCCATGTACATATTGGTATAACAATGTGTATGGATGGGGCATAAAGTGTTTACTTTTATCCTAGTTTGCTTTTTCCTTAAGTTATTATTTAACAGGCTATTTTGTGAGCTTTCTTTGAGTATATTCCATCTTTAATTCTATTTTCATCACAAAACTAAGTGCTCTCTCAAATTAGAAATGACCATAAGGCACCAGTGAAAAGCTCTTTAAAAAAAAAAAATAACACCATTCAATTTTAAGTTTTTCTTAAATATTCTGTCAGGTTTTACCAATGGTATAAACAATATGCAGGGCAAAGCAAGACTGTATGTAAATGGCCTTCCATAACAGGTTGGCATCAACCCTTGAAAACCTCGTGTAAGTAAGTGCATGCGGGTGTAGGTCTGTGAAGGGGGAAAGGAAGTCAGTCAGTTGATTAGTTACATGCCACGTGTCCTTTTAAACTAACTGCTTCAGATACACATTCACAGGGATTTTCGTAATTATATTACCCGTAGCTCCCTTTTGAACATGCAAAGAGCTTCCCACTGCTTTCTACCATGATAAAAAGACTGATTTGTAGCACAGTATGACTGAAAGATGAAAGTGTTTCATCTTATGAGACCGTGTTTTTTTAAAGCACACTATGATATGCTCTGATGAAAAAAGCTGACATTTGGTTTTGTTGCCTAGCAACCACTATGCTATGATGTAAGCATGAGTGTGCATCTATGCCTAGGAACAGCTCAACGAGAACAAGTTTTCCCTGTTTAAACTGTTCCATGTAAACAGGGATAAAGACTTCAAACCTTAAGTCACTAGATTCGAGCATTAGCTCTCTAACATACGCGGCACTGAAGCCCTGCCACACAAGTACTTGCTCAAGTCTGAATACACTGGATTCTCAGAAGGCTATTTTTCAACAGTAAAAATGTTGGCCTGATTTTATGAGAGAAGGCCCACTGATACCCAGCAGTCTGATTTCCATAATCAATGAACTTGCTCTAAAGAGGGCCTGAATTCATAGTCTTGTGGTTACTCCCAACATTTCCTTTTAGAAGCCTCAAAAATCTTTTCAGGAGTTCCCACCCTACTGTAATCTTCCCCCATATAGGGAATCAATGCAGATACCTGGGAATTTCCTAGTAATCTAATAATTTAGATTACCATAATTTTCAAATCAGTTTTGTTTATAATTAAAAGTTTTTTCACAGAAACCTATCTACTTTCATCTAATTCTAAATAGTCCACCTTGTTAGAGTTTTCTTATCTGCTTCTAAGAACCAAGCAGGAAGCAGCACTCTGGTTTTCCTGTTGACTCTGGAAAATCAGGTTAAGTATGTTTTGCTTTTTCCCTGAAAATTGTACTTGGATACTGTCAAGCTAGTGACTCAAGAGAAATAAGCAAGGGACAACACGGGGTCATTTAAAGTTTTTTGGCTAGCAGGTCCAGCTCCAAGACTTTTGTCATTTCTAAATACAAAGACTGGGTCAGATGATTTTTAATTTTTCCTGTGTTCCCCCCACCACCACCTTCCAAGTGTATGATACATTTTCACAGAATGAGATTTTCTAAAAATAAAAATCACATGCACCAACTGAAGAAAAAGGGCAATTATTGGTGATCTTTGCTTTAAAAATCCTACTTTCTCATCTAGGTGCAGCTATTGCCACAGGTTAAATGATTCTACATGGCGATGCCGCCCAGCTTCCGGCCACGTGGTACTTTTCAATCTCATCATATCATCAGCAGAGTAAATTATCCTGAGATCTGACATAATTTATGTCTCAGGGCTCCTCTGCTTCTTGTTATATATTCACCGACATTTTTTCCCTCATCTTCCCATAGCCTACATCTTGAATTTTAATTTTGGAATAGGTACAGCAAAGCACTTGTTAATCAAACAGGAAAGCTAGACTTTACAAATTCTAGACGGTAGTCTGGTCATAAAACGTCCGAAAGTTAATAAAGAACAGGGAGTTAAGACCAACCACTACATTTGTGATGCTCATCCTAACAGCTCTGCCTATTATTTCAGTTTTCATCTTTATGAAATAAACTAGTTTGAAGCAGCATAAATAAAAAGCACAAACCTGCATTTGGTCTTCGAACTGTAACCTGCCTATACGGACATCTGTATATGGCATATATAAAATCTAAAAATTGGGGGAACATCTCAGATGAAAATTATATTACAGAATTTAATAGGACTTGTGAACATGGTTTTCCAAAATGAATGCTCACTCTGTTAATTTATATTGTAATCTAGTTCACGTAATTCTCTCTTATTACTGGGAAATGTACGTAGGCTGAAATCGGGAGCTAGATGAATACATACTAGTAAGCTCCAGAGGTCAGCGGTACTTCCAGCCCGACGAGTGAAAATTAAGTGTAGACTGTCCTGAAATTATATTCACCTGAAAATTAAACGTAATAATATGAAGACCGACAAGAGGGTAGGGCAGAGAACCAGAACGAGGGTAGGCTACCTCAAGCATCATAGGCCCCAGCGCATCCTTGTCGATGACGCCCTGCCCGGTCGACGACACGTCTGACTTCTGCACTTCATCTACGTTGGCAGCTGCTGCTTTCTCTGCAACAAACGGAAGTGTGAATTAAATGGCAGTGCTTTTTCAAGGGCAGAATGACACAGAAACATTGTCATCGTAATGATCTTTAAAATCTCTAGTGGAACCAGCCGGGGCGCTGAAGGAGCTGGAGTCCATCCCCACCGCCGCTGAACGGGAGATGCTGCTGGAAGCAGGAACAGAACAGTACCTTTTCACCTCCAGAACCTGTGCTCAGAGCCCCTCTCAGGCAGGTGATGAAATGAGTTTAGTGGTTTCGTGCTAGTCCCCAACAAGCATTTTTTTTCCTAGACTACAAAACTGCTAAACGCTATGGCACAATTAGTCTCTACTCCGGGGACTCCGCAAACCAGGATAAAGAAAGGTCTGTTGTTCAGAATTCAGTAGCATAATCAGAGATACATTTGCACGTACTTGCAGAAGGACTAAGAAGGAGTCCCAACCCGCTACGGCTAGGCTGCCCCTGCGTGACACGCTCTAACAACTGCCTTTTGGACTCTTGCACTGCTCTACCTCTCGTCACACTCACATATAAGCAGCCAGAAAGATGGGGTCTCTATATTGTAGAAGGTGCTTACCGATTTACGGCAGAGAGAAGAAGCCCCCTCTCAGGCACCGAGAGGAGCTCAGTGGCTGCCCTTTGATCTAAAACAGAGATGCACAATACATGCCCCTGCATTACAACGTGTGAGGCAGCGTTCAAGCCGAGAGGGCCTGGGACAATGCTCCATCATGGATAATTCTCAGAGAACAAACAGATGCGCAGTTATCGATATATATATGCAAACTCGTTATTTTAAGAACACCAAAAAAAAAGTTAAAGGCGTAACAGATACATATCGTCAACTTGCGAGAAAACAACACAAAAACAATGTGCCAATTATTTATACCTGAATAAATTATATCCTTGTTTACACTGCATGTTAGTATTGTAATTAAATGCAAATAAAGAAAACTGTAAATCAATTTCATACTCAGGATCAACCTGCTTTCATGACCTTGGTAAATTTTGGTGCTGCTGCTTCTTTTTTGTTGTTTTTTTGGTAAAAAAGATTTACAGAGTATTCTGAAAATCGGGAAAACTTAATTTGTACCTGAGAACCTAGAACATAATTAGGAATTATGCAGGTCCTCCAAATCTTGCCATTGCCAGGATGGAGCACTTCCACATTATATTCAGTGGAAAAGGGAAGATGACCTGTGTGAGTTCAAGTCTAAGTTCAGCCACTTAGAAGTATGAGCCAGAGAAGTCATTCCAACATTTTTTTTTTTTTAAAGAATTTATTTATTTATTTGACAGAGAGAGACACAGCGAGAGAGGGATCACAAGCAGGGGGAGTGGGAGAGGGAGAAGCAGGCTTCCTGCGGAGCAAGGAGCCCGATGCAGGACTCGATCCCAGGACTCTGGGATCATGACCCGAACCGAAGGCAGACGCTTAACGACTGAGCCACCCAGGGCCCTCATTCCAACTTTTTAAGGCCTTATAGTACCTGCCTTCTGTACATCATGGACTGTGACAGGAGTAAACTGGATGATCGGTAAAACACACTCTAAAAACTATAAAGTAGTTTACAAATGTAACTTACTACTAGCACATCTATGTGTGTTAGTTCTTCCTCATGTAGTAGAGTTCCAAATGTAGTAACTTCTTTGCAGAGCTTATCATAAGCAGACTGTATCTGCTTTTTCAATTACTATATTCCTGGCTCACCTCCTTAGATCTAAATAATTGTGACCATCTATTAAAAGAGATAAGACTTGGGGCTTAGACTGGGTGGTTCAGTTGGTTGGGCGTCTTTGACTCTTGATTTCAGCTCAGGCCGTGATCTCAGGGTCGTGAGACGGAGGCCCACATTGGGCTGCTCGCTCAGCTCACGGTCTGCTTGAGATTTTCTCTCTCCCTTTGCCCCTCCCCACCCCTAAAATAAATAAATAAATCTTTAAAAGAGAAAGGGAGAGAGAGAGAGATGACTTATCTGGTAGCCTTTACAACACAGTAAATATTGGAAGGATCTGTCAGTCTTCATTTTGTTTTTTTCTTGCTGCCTTCCCTTACCCCTTGGCTCTGTCTGCAGGCTTGGTCTCAGCCTAGTTCCTCAGCCTCAATGGGGTAGGAACTACCTCAGGCTTTCCACACGATTACTACATGTGACCTCCCTCCCCCTCCACGTCCATTCCCATTTTCCTAGAATCTTTTTCATTGCCAAATATACACCAAGTAAATGCATACTGGGGCATATAGTTTTGTTTTGTTTTTGTTTTTTTTCCTTTGCTGGTTCACTCTGTAAGGCTACAGGTTTCTCTTCAGTTTCCACTCCCTTTCCTACTCACCAGGGATAGGACTGACCCCATCACCTGCTGTTTCATCTGATTTAACAGCCAGGTACTGTGGAGGTCCCAGCAGGCTTCAGGCCTAAGGATCCTGAGTTTCATTACTACTAAATCGTAAAAGGCGTCAAACAGACATCACATGTTTCTGTGGTCTCACGGCATTCCGATTCGTTCTTTGCCTTCGGTGTTGTGACAGTGTGAGAGCAATGTGCTGGCAGCCCACAGAAAGCGTAAATCGCAGCCTTTGCTCTGCCCCCTCACTATTCGTTGCTCCCATCAGCAACCTCTTCCAACAGTACCAGTGATCCTCAAATCAGAATGGAGTACAAGAGAAGACAACCTCCCCAGAGAGGACCTATCAGAATCTGAAGACTAAAAAGGCTTTCTTTGTATGACATTCTGATACATCTTCCTAGGAAGGTATGCTGTCCTCCCCACTTCCTGCAGTGAGAATCACAGTCCAGGAAATAGTACTCGATCTGCCATCAAAAGGTAAGTTTCATGAAGGGCGCACTGTGTCTATATCCTCAGTGGGCACGGTCCCTATGTCAGAGCAGGTTTTCACTAAGTATTTGGTGGCTAACAGACCAGATCCACCTCGGGCACCTATTCCCAGATATGGAGGAGGCATTTGGAGGTGGGAGTGGGTGGAAAAAGGAATAAAGTCCCGGCTTTAGTCCTAACAGACCTCCAGGGTGCAGGGGGAGGAATGGGACAGGTAGGCAGGGTCAGAAATACGGGGAAAGGATTTCCTGAAGAAATAAAACAAATCATCTTTCCTTGCCTTGCCCAGTAAGTTTGAGGGCATCTAATGTTCTCTCAGGTCCCCAGTTCTCTTACCCTTCCACGACTGCAACTGGTGGTTTTGTTCGTTTTAAAGAATGGATTGATTAATTCAGATTTATGTTGGGGGAAAGTGAGACATGAAGCACAAGCTACTGATCGCAAGGGCAATTCCATACCTACTGCTGACCGCTAGAGAACAGCAGGCTATTTGACATATGAGACTACTATCACATCGGTAAGAGATTCTTGTTTTCTGTGGGGCCTATGATAATGCCATTTTTAGGGCAAAATAAAGACAAAATAACAGTGTCTGTGATAATCCGTTTCCAAGCCTAGTAAAGACAATCAATATACCTTGTGAGATGTTTGCGTTTTGAGGATCTGACCATCATTCTCAAGACCCAAACTTTCCTAAATTCATCCTTTAATATTCTGTGGAATTTAAAAAACAATGTAAGAAAACCCAATCATGCAGGTTCCTAAACAATGATAAGCTTTCAGGCTGGGGTGTCCTAACTATTCTAGCAACATGCTCAGACACTGAACTTTGAACTCTTACCAGAAAATATGTAGAATGAGGATCATAACTGCATTGCATTTTATTCTAGAAATCTACAGATCAGATGAAATTTAGGATAAGGGCCTAAAATTTAAAGGAGGAGATAATTTAGATCTAACAAAACGTGTTTGGGTAAAAATAATTATCATCTTGAAAAATGATTTGTGATGGTAAGCCATGTCATTTTTTTTCTCTTTATCACATTCAATTGATCAATCTTTCAGAGGAGAAAAGCAGCTAACAGGAAGTCAAAGGCAGTGAGTGGCCACCGTGAGGAAATCACCCAGTAACAATGGGATCTGTTCAGCAAGCAGTCTCTCCATCTCTGTGTCTTGTGTCTTGCTGTGCATGTGGTGCAAGTGGAGTGAATAATCCTTGTCAGCTGAGAGATTAAATCTAGCTGGGAGGGCAAAACAATTACAATCGAACTAAATGAGAGCAATTTAGCGATAATTGCAAGGAACTAACTTTAAGTTCAAAGAAGAGATAAAAATCATTGGACGTAGCTGAAAATATTTCACGTACGTTGTAAATGAGTTGGACTCGGCAGGATAAGCAAGTGGATGGCAAAAGCAAGAGCCTAAGAAGGAAACCAGTGGGAATGGACATGTGGCATCTGGCCCCGAGAAAATGTCAGCGTGGCCTCTGAAAACCAATGCTAAGCTAAGGAACATTGGCAAAAAGTTTGTCTAAGCTGGAATTCTAGGAATCCCTGACTAAAAATGAAAACAACACAAATTTCACAAGATCTATTAGTGGAACATGTGCTTTGAAAGAAAACTCTAAATGAGTCTATCGATTATTTGCAAGAGAATGTTGTAATATTTACACAACACTATTCATGTAATCAAGGGAATGGGAAATGTTCACTATTCATAGAGTAAATATGAAAGAGAGACAAAGGGTAAAGAATCTGGGGCTTTTCACGCCTGTCCTCACTAATGTTTGTATTACATGCATTTCCAATTAATTTGTCATCTGCTATTCAATTCTGTATTGAATTTGTGCTTTCATCATTTCTCAATATTAAAGAGAATAAAATCAATAATATGAAATGATAGAAAACACTCAGAAGTATGGCTTTACCAATGTAATTGAAATCTACATTAAACTAGCCATGAATTTATGTTTTTGGGTCCTTTTCATGAGGTAATTACTACTTCTGTTCAACATTCAGCTGAGCCTTGAAATTAAATAGGAGGAAGGAAAGGACTCTAGTGAGAGATACATTATTACGATAACCGGACATATACTGGTATCTTGATGGAGCCTTTCAGTAATTAGTATGCTATTTTTAAGGACCAGATATAAATAAGCTTAAATCCTTA